GATTTTGGGATTGAGAAAGTGTATGTATTTCTTTTCTATGTTTTGTTTTCTAATGCAGCATTATGTCATTTTTTCTTTTGATTTTAGAATTGAGAAATTGTATGTATTTCTTTTTGTATTTTTTTCTCTATTTAATAAAGCTTAATAAAGCCATGGGGAGAGTTAGGAGAAATTGAATGCTTCTTTCTAGAAGATTCAAAGGAAATTTGAAAATTTTAGAACAATTCTTTAGGGTGCACTTATTAATAGCTGAAAAAATGAGAAGTTCTAAATTTTAGACTTTATTTGTGAATGTTATGTTGTATGTAGTTTGTAAAAATATTTTTTTCCCTTTATTTTTCCGGATATTTTTTTATATTGTTCTCACTTTATGATGCAAAACTTTAAAGAATGTGTTTTTTAAGTAAATTTTTAGTTATTTTCTTTTTTCATTTGTTACTATTTGCTAGATATTGTTATTTTGCACTTTTTTCCAATTAAATGTGATTATAGTCTATTTTTAGAAGCAAATAATATTTTTTTACTAATATAAAAAATAAAACTTAAAAATATAAATATTTTATTATAAGGAACCTGTGCAAGGCACGGGTATTGTCTAGTGTAGTCAATAACATAAGACAATTTATTAAGGAATTAAGAGCCATTTTATGTTCATAAATGGAGTATAGTAGCAGAGAATATCCTAGGCTCTTTGTAGTACTAGTTCTTGAAAGGTTCCAAACAATGTCCCTGTTCTAGGTTCTGACTCCAGAACTTGCTATAATACTCAGTATAGGAGAAATCCTTGTATATAGCTCCAGACCCGTCTTCAGTGAGAGGTTTTGCGGCAAAAGGCTATTTTTAGCCCCTCACCTTATCAAGTTGGAAGGTTTTAACCCCTCATCTTATATTATGACATTTTGAACCTCTCACCTTACTAGATTTGTAGGTTTTAGCCCTTCACCTTATACTATAACACTTTTAACCCCTCACCTATTAAAATTGAAGAAAATAGCCCTCACTTTCTAACATTTTATGAGTTCTATTAGCTGACTATTAATTCTGTTAACTGACTGTTAGTTGACTATTAGCGGTTAAAAACTTTTTTTCAGCTAACATAATTAACAAAACTAATTTTATAATATTTTGTTAATTCTGTCAATTGATAAAAATATACTTTCAACTAATAAAGTTAACAATCAGTATAAAATGAGGGTTATTTTCTTTAATTTTAATAGATGAGGGGTTGAAACCTACAAATTTAGTAAGGCAAAGGGCTTAAACCTACAAATCTAATAAGATAAGGGGCTAAAAATGTGATAATATAAGGTAAAAAACTAAAACTTTCAAACTTGATAAAATGAGGAGCTAAATGTAGGTTTTTACCGAAGTTTTGCAGGGGGGATAATGGTATTAACATATGGGCAGAGGAAGGTAGCAATTGACATCCTTGCTGTGGCTGCATTAAGAATTGCTCGGTGCCAGACGCTCTTATACCTCCCATTACTTAGCGCCTATATAATCACATTATCTTAATAGTTATTAGAGACTAATGGCATTCTTGGTTTCGCAAAAATGAAGCTAGAAATTTTCTTTTGGAGGATCATATCATAGAGTATCTAAATTAGGATAGGTCAAGTTAAGATATTTCAAAAATTAATAGGTAAAATTTGCAATTCCCCAACATTAAGGAGGTCAGGTTGTTAATTTAGTTCCTACCCCAATTCCATCTTTGCTTGTTTGACGGCTTCAATTTTGACGTTAGTGTGGAAATGCTTACCAATGTTAATGACAAAAGCATTTGGTTGGGGGTTGATGGCGATCCACTTATCATCTTTGAAGACTTGGAGGCCAGCAACCTGCAAGTCTTGGAGCAAAATTGTGAGGAGATTGGGATCAGTGTGCTTGGGCAGTCCATATGTTAGTTGTGGCTCTGGACAGGGAGGGTAGTAGTTCACAACCATATTTTGGCCTTGTGCACCCAGGACATTCTTTATGTAGTCGCTTTTCAAGCCTAGACTCTCCGATATTAGTTCTTGCAGTCTGAACCCAAGTTCTCGGACTTCCTTGCAGTAGTTACTTGCAATTTCCCTGTCAACAAATAAAATTTAGTATTTCTCTTCCTTGAACTTCCTACTTCGTTGTTGAAAGGTAGTAAGATTGAATTCCATATTATCTAAAAGCAATTCATGAACAAATAGAAAGTAAATTAAGAGCATGTTTGGTTCAACTTCTAAGTGTTTCAATTTTTTGACATTATTCATATTTCATAAGTTTAAATTTCTCTCTTAAAACTTATATTTTTAAACTCTTTTTTAACTTTAAAAAGATTTCAAACAATAAAAACTTAAAAGTTTTAAATTCAAATTTTTCATAAACTCACTTTTTACTCACTTTTTACTCACTTCTAAAAACAACTTTAAAATTTTTCCTTCAATAAAAATTTAAACTTATCACTCACGAACAGTACAAAAAAATAAAAACTCTTACAAACTAACCCAAACATACTCTAAATGCACTAGAAAAAAAAAAAAACAAAAATTTAATTAGGGGTGAGCAGATGCCTCAAGGTATATTTTTATGTATACCGACATTAATCTCTTTTCATGCAATCTTAAAAGTACATCCTCCTATATTAGCTTGATGTATTTTAAGAAATTAATTTTTTAAGTGATATACTCAATATTTGAATTATATACTTAATATATAAAATAATATTTATTTATTAATGAATTTAACTTGTAGAGTTCATAGGTAGTTTATACATATACATAAGTTTATAAACAAAACAATTATTGATACACACTTTGGTTCATACACTATACAATACTCATTAAAAATTATTATTTTTTAGTCTAAAATTAAAAATAAACAAATTTAAAGATACAATTATACATACAAAATGTAAGAATCAACTGAATTAATTATATTTATATTATATTTTTAATAATTAAATTAAAAACATATTAAAAAATATATTAAATCAAGAGTATACATATCATTTTCCTTATAAATATAACAAAATATATTATTTCATAAAGACGCAATCACACAAAAGTCCATAAAAGCTTGCCTATATACGTGTCCTACTTTTAATTATTTATTTTTTGGTTCAGGTCAGTCTCTAATGGCGGTTGTAGTAAAAAACCGGTTAAAACCAGTCAGTTGGTCAACAAACTGGTCAAGATCAGTAAAAGCCGATCAAATTCAGATCGGTTGTGCCCATAAAAAAATATTCAGATCGGTTGAATTTTTTAATATTTTTTACTTTTTCATTTTTCAAATTATTTTACATTTCTAATTTTTAAAAGGTTTAGTTGATAGAATGTTTTTTAAAAGATATTATACTAATTAAAGTATGAAATCAATTTAAAATCAAACTACTACTTACAAATGAAAACTTAAATCAATTTAAATATAATTTGAATAAAATTTGAAAATATAATCAATTTGGAAACTAAATTTATGAAATTATTTGATATCATATCAAATCAATTTAGGAAATGTTATCAATTTTAAGAATAAAATCAATTTAAAATTATATGACAACTTTAATCAATGAAATTAATTTAAAATAAAAAAAAATCTCAATAAAATTTTGGAAATAAAATCAATTTAAGATAAAAAATTATTTCAAAAAATATTAGAAAATCTCAATCAATTTTTTTAAAAGAATCAATTAAGGAAAAATAATAATTAATTTAAGAAAAATGATTGTTATACCATCCATTTCAAGACACTTGTCAACACTCACTAATTTAGCTATTAAATTCTATAGTTAAAATTTTTCTCATTTTAAATTTAAATTTGAAAATAATAATTTCTTAATGAGTGTATTAAACCATAGAGTGTACATTATTATCCTTAATTTAATATTGTTTATTAATGGTGACCAAAATGGTTCGATCATTAGACTAAGTTTGTGTGAGCTTAGATAAGTTGTTATATTTACTTTGATTGTTGAAGGCATGGTTGGGGATGGGATCCCTAACTAAAATTTTCTGCCTTAACTTATTTATCTTCTGTCTAGATGGATTATGTTGAAATACAACTTTACTTTTTTTCCAAGCTTGACTGTAGTTGTACTATTTATATATGCATTAGATTATTTAATTTTACATTTTTATGACACATTTTATTAGTATAATATCTTTAGTGTATTACCACATTCAAGTTGGTCGTAACCCTTATAGTTTGGACATGATACAAACATACTCTAATTCAACACACTATACAATATACTTATTAAAAAATATTTATTTTCTAATATGAAAATTAAAGGTGGAAAAACTCAAAGATGCAACCATACATTTTGAAAATTAATTAAATTGACTATACTTATATTATATTTTAATAATAAAACCAAGTAGATGTTAAAAGGTGTGTTGAACCGAAAAGTGTATCAATTATTTTTCTTATGGTTTTCATAAATCAATAAAAAAATTTTCTCATAAAAAAGAAAGGCTTAACTGTAATGAATGTGTTGTATTGTGTCTTGAGCCGATTGTATACTAATCATTTTCACTATGCCTTCAGACTTGCCCCGAAGCCATCCAAAAGACCTTCTTTTGATCATCTCAATCAAAAATTTTTTTGAATCGAGTATAGTCAAAAAGTTTTAAAGAGATATAGAGAACTTACTTGAATGAAGGAGGGTTAGAAGGCCAGTCAAGCACATGCTTTTCCAAAGGATAGCAATGGACCAGTCACTACATCATAATTGCCATTTAGCTACGTTAAGTTTTTACCTATACTCATAATTTTGTAGATTTAGATGTCTATGCTTATAGTTTATTAATTTGTATGTATATGATTTAAATATACATGTATATTTATAAAAACTGTAGGAAATGAAAAACTTTATCTACGAAAATATCTTAATGTAGATAAAAAAAAAAAAAAAACTTACACTTACAGTTATAATGAATTGTAGAAATAGGAATAATCTATACTTATGAATATCAAAATCCATGGCTATAGATCATTAAAGATAGTTTAACTTCATAAATCTACTCTAAAATACCTAAATTACCCATTTGTTAACCCTTTGGAACAAAAAAAAAAAGAATCTTATGTTGGCCTCAAAAAAACCAACTACAAATTCATAAGAGAAGCAAAATTGGAAAAAAAAAATAATAACTACTATAGTTGAAAGTACACTTAAAACTATGAACAAAACCAACAATTAAAAAAAAAACACACACACACACACACACACACACACACCAACGACAAATTGAAAACAAAAACAGAACCATTCTCTTCAAGTCCCTATAAGAAGCAATAGTAAGCAAGAACACCAACAATTGGATCGAAAGGGAAAATTGAAATTCAATCACTACCCCATCCTATCTTTTCACTTGGTGATTTCTTAGGCTCCAATTGCTTCACCACAACAACAATCTGCGAATTCCAAACTCACAAAGTAGTTTAAGGTAAGTTTTAAATCAATATCTAACCTCTTAACTTTGGTTCTTGTGGACTATTGTAATTTTTACATTATTGGATTTCGGGAGGGTTTTTCATGGTTGTTCTAGCTTGAGAAAACCAAAAAGCAAGTAGGAATCCACTCACATATGATAATTTGAGAATTTGAATCACCCTATAAAATTCTAGGTAAATCTAAGAGTTGGGTAGTTTAAATAAAAGAGTGAGAGAAGAGTGGGAACTGAGCAGTGGAATGATTTGTTTATGTATGATCATTGTGGTTAGTTAGAAATAATCATGTGTTATACATATAGATTTGGAAGTGATATGATCATTAGAGTTTTAGAGTACGTTTTGTACTCTGAATATTAATAAAAATAAAATTTTACAAGTATATAATATATTATTTTTTATGTTTCCTTGAATGAGTTCTTTTTTGTTTTTATTTGATAGATATTTTATTCTTTTATTGGTAAATGAGTAAAATTGTAGAATAAAAAAATCCTACATCACCTAAAAATAAACAATAAAGCTTATTAAACACTCTATATAAGAAAATGCCTTGATCCTACATTGGTTAAAAATAAAAGGTATAGCTTATAAATACTTTATATAAGAAAAGATTTAAAATATATTAATCAAATTTTTAAAGTTTTGTAGTGTTGGATTTGGGCTAAATAATTTTATTATTGGCATTTAAATATTTTATTATAATAATAATTATTATTTAAAATTATTTGAATTAAATATATATTTTAAAATAATAATTAATTTATATTAAAAAATATATTGAAAATTTTTTAAATTTCATTTTCATTTTGGTTACAACTTATGATGTTGTTATATTATATATTTGACAACGATAAATATCATTATAATATATTAGTTTTAAACACAAATAAGGTTATTATAATTTGCATTTTTTTGCATCAATTTAAGTAATTTTTTTAATAATATATTTAATAACGATTAATATTATTGTGAAATATTTATTTTATATATAATAAGATTGTTATGATATAAATTTTTTTATTACAACGTATAGTATTGTTAGATAATATATTTAACATTAACAAATATTGATGCTTAATGATGATATTGAAACTATTATTTTATTGTTGTTATTAGTTTTTACTTACAGTTGATAAGTGTAAGTATTTTTATTTACCTACGATTTTGTAAATATAGGTATAAGTTATCTAAGACCTTTACCTATGAATTTAAAATTTGTAATAATATTATTGTAAATGTAAATGGTTATCTTTAACTACATACTACACTAATTACATCATCTAATATATAACTATAGTATTTAGGAGAGTTATAGCTACTATTTTTGGAGATTTAGTTACAATTTTTGTGTGTAGGTAAATGACACTTCTCTTTGTTAACGTTGAAGCTGGTAGAAAGTCTCATTGTCTTGGACAGCTCATCGGAATAGCTTCAACTTCTCCTCCACCGGTCCTCGGAAGAACTCACCAGCCGAACCTAACATCTTCTCCACGGCCTCCCCAGAAACCCCATGATTTATCACCTACACATAAACATTACATCCACTAAATGGCTACCGAAATTCAGCAAAGATTGTAGCACCATCTTTCTTTCTTTTTGAAAACATATGATTCAACCTAGTTAACGAAAGGTTAATTAACTGAGGTTTTGAAAAGATTGGCATTTCCAATCTTTCACTCCTAAAGTTTACCTGAAAAAAGCCATCGTTTTTGCAGGCATCTCCGATCTGCTGAACAATACAGGCTCGGGTGTCAGACCCAAGTTCTATGACAGGAATATTTTCACCGGTTGAGACTTTGGAAAGCCGGCGGCGTTCGGATTTGGGTCGGACATAACTTTGCGGTAAATTAGAGTAGCGGATGCATGTGGAAATGAACGTGGTATCCATCAATTGTTTATTCATTTACAGAAAATGATTCAGGGAGGATGAAACGATGAAGGCAATGAGCAGAATGAATCACAGTTTCTCACACACACTTATAATACGCAGAGTAATGCCAGTGGGCCTGCTGACGCCGATTACTTTGGTTACCATCCAATATTGTTGTCATCTGCTTGATTGGACCCTGCACCAACTTTGATGCTTCTGGGTCCATGCCACCTGACCTCTACTTGATTGAAACTTCTGGGTCCTCGCCACCTTTAGGCTAAATTTAATTGAACGGACCTCTAAGATTCTGCGAGAATGATGATAGACTAACTTAGAATGTTATTATATTAATAATTATAATATGTTATTAAATAAATAAAAATATATAATATTATTGTTCGATCTTCAAATAAAATATATAAAAATTAAAATAACACATGTTAATTATAAATTTATGATATCATATTACTTTATAAATATATTATTTCTAAAAATTTTGACAGCTTAACACTTGAATACCATTTTCTTTAAATTAAACCATATTTCCCCAACTTAATTAATATATAATTCTACTTGATCACCCACGTAAGCCCATGTGTATACGTCTCACCTTGCTGTTGACACTGCATCAACATGATTCATGTTAGCGAAAATCGTGTTCGTAGAACCTCCCCCTCGCTGATTGATAATATAAGTTCTAGATACATTGGTGTCCTTGGATTCATTGACATGATCGATACAACTCGGGAATTTGTTGTTGATACTGCAACAACGTGATTCACGTTAGCGTAAATCGTGCCCATGCAACGTCCCT